TACAAAAATAAATAAACATTTAAAAATTTTAAAAAAGAAAAGATTTCTCTTTATTCTGAATGTAAGATATATGCATTGGAATATGTAGAAAATAGCTTTAACAAAGGGTATACCCAGGATGCATTAGCTAAATATAACACCAAATCTAAGAAAATCAATTACTGTATTCCAAAAGACACTATGTAAGGGACCATCTGATCAGCTGGATTCATGCACCTCTCATGGTTGTTAACCATGTAAGGAAAAGCAGAATCTAGGCCTGAAATAATTGTGCCAAAAGGAGAAGACACACAGGGTAGAGATTTGGAGATCAAAGTTCTGTTTCTTTGAACAGGTTTTTGTGTGATTTCGGACATTCACGTTTTTCTCAGTTGACTTTCCAATTGTAAAATGAATATGTCTTATGTCTGCATGGCTACTTCATACTATTGTTGTAGTATTCAAGTAAAACAATCTGTTTTAAATTATTTAGAATAGCAGGAAATGCTTTGCAAATACAAAATATTATCAAGGATAACAGAGACATTCTATACGTTCTCAATTCTGATATACCCTCATGTTCCTCGAGCTGATTTCTCTGGAAGGCCAACCAAATCCACAGGATATGAAGGCTACTTGTAACACAGTTTTATTACATTCATTAACAGAACTTGGATCATTTTGTCTAGAGGACTTGTAGAGAATTGGGAGGTAGATGACGGACTCTAATGGTGAGCATAATGGGTTGATTTAATTAATTCAGTGAACAAGATATTTGATCCAGTTGAATGATGCATAAGCAAAATGTCTGGTTGACTTACCTGAATCTCAATTTTCCAGATATTTTTACAATAGATAATACCTTTAGAAGAAGAAATTTTACAACTATTCAACATTCAGTTTTTATCCTGGATAAATCTCTATTTGTTCTTAATCTCATTCTTCTATCTGCATTTTAAACCACTTCTTTCAAATTGGGTTTGGTTTAGATAAAGAAAAATTCAGTTGACCTTTCTTTCTCTTCACTTTTCCTCATCTATTTAGGGGAACACAAACTGAATCATTGGTCATCAAAAACTTAATGTCACTTCAGTGGATTCCCATTAGTAAAAATCAAGCGATTATTGATAACTGACTGATCTTGACACTTCAGTCGATGACTGGAGAGGATGTATGTCTTCTGCCATTAAGATTATTTTTTTAGATTTGACTAAAGCAATAAGGCTAACATGTAAAATAAAAAATAAAAGATAAAATTAATCAATAAATTGAGTAGCAGCAAGTGTAAATAATTCATGGTAAAGAAATTCAATTGGGAGCTGCATTATAGTGAGAGTCTTCATAGAATGAATAGGTTGTGTTTGAAGGCTAGTATAAAAATTGCATGCATTTTAAAGAATCCAAGTTAGCTAAATATGCCTGCAAATGTTCAGAGTTTTAAAGGAATCTGGCCTATTTAAAAATAAAATCAAGATTTGGGCACACTAGAATGTTGACTCATTTAAGCTTCACAAAACACCGTATTAAAAGCATTTTGCTGAAGAAGAATAAAAAGGGAGAGAGATTAACTACCTTGCCCATGCCTACAGCCAGTAAGTACTTGAATCAAGACTTGAGCTCAAGTATGTCTTCAGAGCCTATGACTCATTTTTAATGTCGGGTAGCGTCTCAAGGAATACTGAGATCTGAAGAAGCATGGGTGGATGGAGAGAAAGAGAAAAGTGGAGCAAGCAGGGTACCATTAAGGGAACACAGAGAATGTACTTAATATTCTTTAATATCTAGTAGTCATAGTGAGGCTCATTTCAGATTTTGGCTACTCATTGGACTGAGGATCTTAAAGTACTCCTCACCTTGGTCAGCATCACTTCAAGAGCTTGGCAAGGGTGATTCTTCCAGTGAGAGGCAGCAAAGATTACAAATGAGCAGAGTGATGTCAAGAAGTTATTAATATCTGCCAGTCATTTTGTGAAGGATGTAAACTTCATTGAAGCTTTGCCTTTTGATAAATTTTCTCAAAATATCATCCATAATTAATGACATGATTGATACTAGACGCAAAGCATATTTACTAACAAATGATGAATAGGTTCTGGAGGATAAATTTTGCAAACAGAAGCCAAAATATAATAATACATATCACAGAAAGGCAGATCTGAAAAGCAGAAGAAATACAGATGTGGAAGACTTTTGCAGTAATGGCCCAAATTTGTTCACATACCTCTGTACCCATGCTGTTGGATAGTCGTTCCCTACACTGGTTCTGGACTTGGCCATGGTACTTGCCTTGGCAGATGAAACTATAGAAAATGTGACTTAAGTACAAGCCACTATAGTAAGACACCAATGCCAGCCGGCCAAAGGATGAGAGAATGAGATTCGCCTAGCTGACAACCTACCCAGTATTGAATACACCAAAAAATCCTAGATCATCCACCCAACCACCTGGCTATAATCCAGAAGAAGAAAGCCCACCAGATATCAGCCAAACAAACCCCCAGAAAATGTGACCAGCCAATCCACAGAATTATAAACTAAATAAAATGGTTGTTTATTTTAAGCCATTGAGTTTACACAGCAAAAGCTATTTGATATGATAGAATACTGTTTCAAGCAATGAGAAAAACAAGCAAAAGGTATTACATACTTGTTTCGCAAATAGAGACCTAGTAATCCAGAAGGATCATACTGCAAGGACTGTGTGTGTGTCCAGGCATAAAGGGTTTGGACATCCTTAAAGAATCCTATACCTCAAGATGATAGGAGAGAAGCAGAATATTGTTGTACAACCAAAAGTAAAATAGAAAAGTACCATAGGGTCTTGGGAAGCACAGCGTATTTTCCCAGTGTGAAGCAGCATCACTTGGTGTGCCCCCAATCTAAGCTTGGTAGAAGCAAAGATTATAGACAGCCAGGAAGAGGTCCTGTCAATGTGAACATGAAATCACACAGAAGCAATGGAGTGGACCACCAACTGAAGACATTGGTGGTGGACATTATGCCTCCCAGTAGGTGCCGATATAGACAGAGATCCACCAAGGGCTAAATTCCTCCTCTTACTCTCCTGCCCCCATCCAACAGTTGATGTGCATCAATTTCCTCTCTATGAAACCAAAGTACCACTTTATTTTATCAGCTAGACTCTAACTCTGAGACTAATGCAATTTATTCTGGGCTTTGTGTTTTCATACATATTCTATGTTCTCAGCAATAGAGTTGAAAGGTTATTAATAAAATTATTAACTCTTCACACCACAAAAACATAAGATAACTTTATAACTATTAACTCATCAACAACAACAACAAATCACACAAACAGAAACCCACATCCAGTATTAAAAATTAGGGAAGGGTGCCAAAACACATGACTCCAAAGTCTAATATACTATTAGACTAATCTATTGGATTAGACTGCAACAGCCTCCTGATGGTGCAACTCTCACCCCTTGTCCCCAGATGGGCATCAGAACCTGCTCCTTTCCCCAGGAACTGGTGTCTTCTTCCAACTTGCCATAAAATCCTTTCAAAAATGATTGACATCTAGAACTTCCCATGTACCTTCTAATGAAGCTTTACAATTTCCTTAAACTGTTGAGCAGCCAAATAAAATCAGTTTTCAGACACATTATAGCTAAAATTGTATCTCATGTGTAAATTATAAACAATGATTGTTTCCTACTGGCTTATCATATCTGTACCTGTTTCCTGCTTCTTAGACTATTACCAAAGTGCACTTTTGGTCTTAGCTTACAAGAAATATTCTTGAATCCACTCCACCCTTTGAGCAATAATATTTCTTGTAAATCAGTAGTTTCTTGGTTTTCAGTGACTGTGCCAAATGGGGCTTTGGTCTGGTGCTACAGTTTGTAAAGTCAGACTGACATGAGGCTAAAATGTAAACTTGATAAGACTGTGGCTCCCTATGCCAGTAACTATCTCCTCTTTTCACTTAGTAACAATATGATGCTGGCCATAGGTGTTTCAACTTTAATTGTTTTAATCCTTTTTAACCTACTAGGATAGGTATTCTAAAAGCTCACGTGCCAGATGAGCAGGGGGTGTGCACAGGCATTTATGTATGAAATTACACCTACAGTTACTGATAACATGGCTTTATAAAGTTAGCTTAAAAGAAGGAAAAATACAAACTTTGCCTTTCAATGTACTGTTATTTCTAAACCATTCTAAGGTGGTAACCAACCGAGGCAGCAGCAAAAGCCATGCTGAACTCTTTTCTAATTGATGTGACAGTTTATTGTGTGGTTGGTGTATTGCCCCCTTTCCCTACCAAGTCATTCTCAGTCACTGTAATACCAATTTTTGTAAGTTTTTTGTTTGTTTGATTTCTCAGCATCCTCTCTAAACAAAACACATCTTATTTTTCACTTTAGGGATGTAAACTGTTTACTGCATGTGAAAGCTCTTACATGACATTTTAAAAAAGCCATTAAATGCCTTCCATATGAAGAATTTGTTCTAGGCAATGCACAATGTGAGCTGGTAGAAACTGTTCCCAAACTGTGGAAATTAGCTCAGTGCTAATTCCATGTAGGCATGATCATGTAGGCATGATCAAAGAATCAAAATTACAAATAACATTGTCTTCAACCCCATGCAAAAATGAAGTTAAGGAAAGATTATAAATTAATGAAATTTACCCTTATGTGTTTTATGAAGGGCAATTTCATTACTTCATAGTCATATATAATATAATCACATATATTATACCTACAATCAATTATGAACATGTATACAGATTACCCATTCTGCAATTGCCAATCATCTGAATCAAATTTTATGAAATGGAACATTAAATATGTGAAAAATTGTTAAAATACACTAAATACATTTTAGTTAAATATATGTTGATTGCCATAAAATTTGTATAAATGCTAAAAGCATAGTTTAGATGTAATTATAATTTTTCAGATTGGCTTGCTTGTCATATTAGCCCTGAGAAAAACATATTTCTTAAAACCACAAAGAAAATAATTCTATCAATGGGAAAATGATTTATTTACCTGGATCTTCTATAGTTAGGTTCTTTATTAACCATTGAACAATGTCTGACCCTAGAAAAAGAAAAACACAAATATTTGTGAACATTTGTTTATATATGTTAACTCTAAGAACTTGCAACTTTTGTCACTCACGTTAGTAAGAATGTTTATTTTTTTAGTTTATGTTTTTGAGCATTTAAATATATATATATTAAAGACATATATATATATATTTATTAAAGTATAGTTGACACACAATGTTACATTAGTTTCAGGAGTACAACATAGCGACTCAACAAGTCCACACATCATGGTGTGCTCACGGCAAGCATAGCTATCATCTGTCAGCCTATAACACTATTACAATACCATTGACTCTATTCCCAATGCAATACTTTTCATCCCCATGACTTATTTACTGTGTAACTGGAAGTCTTTACCTCCTACTACCCTTCACCCATTTTGCCCATACCGCCTCCCCTCTCCCCTCTGGCAACCACTGGTTTGTTCTCTGTATGTAATTCTCTGAGTCTGTTTCTGCTTTGTTTGTGTTAAAATTCCACATCTAACATGAAATCATATGGCATTTGTATTCCTCTGTTTGACTTATTTCACTTAGTGTAATACCCCCATAGAAGTCCATCCACACTCAAATGGCAAGACTGTTTCTAATTGTTACAATAACATTAAAGATCAACCACATATGGAGTACTGAAAACAATGTGAATACATAGTTTGTTTTCAATGAGCCCAGGTGAATACTAGTAAATCAGTTAATATTAAATATTTAGGCACAAAGGTTTAATATACCTGTACTGGATAAAATGATTCATTCATCTGTTCTTTGAATAAATGCTTATTGAATGCCCACTATGTTTATTTTTTCCTTTTTTTTCAAATTTTTATTCAAATTCTAGTTAGTTAACATATAGTGCAATACTGGTTTCAGGAGTAGAATTCAGGGATTCATCACTTACATACAACACCCAGTGCTCATCACAAGTGCCCTCCTTAGTACCCATCACCCATCTAGCCCATCCCCACACACCTCCCTCCATCGGCCCTCAGTTTGTTCTCTATTGTTAAGAATCTCATATAGTTTGTTTCCTTCTCTCTTTGTTCCTCCTTGCCTCCATATATTCATCTGTTTCTTTAATCCCACATATGTGTGAAATCATATGGTATTTGTCTTTCTCTGACCTATTTTGCTTAGCATAATACACTCCAGCTCCATCTATGTTGTTGCAAATAAATGCCCACTATGTGTGAAGCACAATTCTGAGCATGGCATAACCAATATTTTATAAGATGGTCCCTTATATCTACTCTCAAGCTAAACCAAATTTGTTGTTAGCTTTTAAACACTCCTGAGTGTTTCAAGTCTCCATGTCTTTATAGTACTATTCCCTTTCACTGAAATGTCTTACCACTATTTTCAAGACACTCAAGACTCATTTACAACAGAACTTTTCTTAACCCTCACTTTTGTCCACTGAGTTTACAACAACCTCCATTGGAATTCACTGGTACCTGTGCAGAATTGTATTGTAGAATAGATCACACAATGTTACAGCTGTTTATTTGAATAATGCCCTCAAGGAAGTACCTTGAAGTGGGGTACCATATTCATGTTTCTATATTCAGAACATAGCAAGTGGTTAATAATGTAGGATGAATAAAAAAAATTATTAAATATGTGTTTTTACTTCCTAAAGAAGGAATGTGGGGGGCGCCTGGGTGGCGCAGTCGGTTAAGCGTCTGACTTCAGCCAGGTCACGATCTCGCGGTCCGTGAGTTTGAGCCCCGCGTCGGGCTCTGGGCTGATGGCTCGAGCCTGGAGCCTGTTTCCGATTCTGTGTCTCCCTCTCTCTCTGCCCCTCCCCCGTTCATGCTCTGTCTCTCTCTGTCCCAAAAATAAATAAAAAACGTTGAAAAAAAAATTAAAAAAAAAAAAAGAAGGAATGTGGGATGGTCTGCAGAAAATGTAATGTTTGAGCTAGATTTTGATATATGATAGACAAAACTCAGTTGCTGGAGGCCTATGTCAAAGTTAAAAAGGGGAAAATAGCCAGCAAAAACTATCTGGTGTATTCTTTCTATATACTCCATGCTGGGAATAACAGGAACTTGACACTAATAAAAGTATTCACAGTGTATTCAGCAGATCTTGAACTCCAGGCCAAAGAATTTGGATTTTTTTCCCCATAAGTCAGGCAGAGAAAGGGAGACATGGTATGTTTGTTGTGTTTTGTTTTGAACAGAAGAATAACCTTATCAAAACAAGTTTAAGGAATTTGATTGGCAATACATAGGAAGTGCCTTGGGCCAGTCAAAAAGAAAGCAGGGCAGCCAACATTCCTACTGGTTGAGATCCAGGATTGAAAGAAAAAGTACTGAACTAGTTCAGTGTACAAGTGGGTTAAAGCAAAATTAGAGGCTTGCTTCTGGACTTTGTGACTAATTTGGTATGGAGGTGGCCAGTGGAAGAACGGAGAGAACTCAAGGTTTCCAGTGCAGGAGCACTGTGGACGAAAAGGATGGTGAAAATATGAGCAGAAATGGGAGATTCAGGAAGAAGACTTGATCTACCTGAAATATTAATTCCTATTTAAATTTGGCTTTCAGCATCATTCATTTATACATAAAACAGCAAAAAATATGTATGAAAATAGTTTTGTCTACATAGCAAGCTGCATCAGGACTACATGAATGAACTTTCATGTGAGCTGAGATTCTACTTCTACTGCTCTCGGGGACTGGCCTCAGTTGCGTCTCAGATGTGTATATGTACACATGACTGACATTAACAATGGCTAAATAATTATTACTGCTTGAGGCAAAATAGCTCAAAGCTATCTTCAAAGTAAATCTGGGGGAGCCTAGCCAGCTCAGTCAGTAGAGCATGCAACTCTTGATCTTGGGGCTATGAGTTCAAGCCTCATATTGGGTGCAGAGATTACTTCAAAAAACTTTAAAAATAAAATAAATACACTTGATTATCAAATTTGAGAACAATATCCTAAAAGTTATAAAAACACTAATACTCAACATTGATTTCCATATGCATGGCATTTTTAAAAAGACTTCACATGTTGAATCTAACGTATATTCTTTTATATCTGTCTTGTTTACAACTGCCATTGATTTCAATACATGTGAGAACATGGATTCACCTAGATCCTAAAGCAGCTCTGAGGTAAGGGAGGAAGGGAGACCACTCACAAGAACACAGGTATTTCAGAGAGCTATGTTCAGGATTACAACCTAAGGTTGAGGCATGGTCACCCCTTTAAAAAAGAGGACTCAGTTTTTCAAATATGTATGTATTAATACTTGACAAATGTAGAATTCCAGGTATTCAAATCTTATGTGCTATCTCCAGGTAACTTGCTCATTTTCCACATTTGAGCATCTACTTGGGGAACATATGTGAGCAGCCACTGGACTTTTTCCATTTTTTCGAAGAGAGCCAAACATTGGTTCCAAGACTATAATTTTCTCTTAGTGTAAAAAATGATTTAAAAATGCTTTTAGAAGGAGTTTTTTTTAAGTTTTCTTCTTTTTTTTCTGAGCAGAAAGAAATACAAAAAAGCCTAATTTGAAACTACATTTAATTCAGGAAACAGGAAACTTTCTTTCCTAGCCTAGATTTGAGTACTTCTATTATGGTCATAGTCTCTGCTCAGCTCTGAAAGGGATGATTGCACCACTTGTCAATATCACTTAGCAGATGCTATAGTGGTTTTATTGTTGTGTGGTCACCTCAATATATGTATGGCTTTAAGTGGAACATTATGAATTACTTTATTGTTAAATGTATACCCAAACTCACCATATTCACCTATTCTGCATCTATGACAGCAAGATCTTAACTCCAAGAGAAAGGTAGGACACAGAGAGAAAAAAAAAAAAAAATCCAGCATCATGATGGAAAAAGAAAACTGAAAGAGAAATGTGGTATCACAGTCATATTGAGACCTACAATTCAAACTTAAAAGGGTGCATCACAGCCAGGAGGGGTGTAGGAAAGAATGGCACATTTCTAGCAATGTGTCTTAGCCTTATGTTTAATGAATAAATAAACAGATCTGTATAATGTACATATCCAGAGTATTTTAGCATGCATGCATCTTTATTCTCAGTGCCTTACAGTAACATGAAGAATTGTTTTCTCATTGTTTTTCTTTTCTTTAAAAGATGGCAAAGAGCTATTGAATAGCTAATAATGTGAAACTAGCTAAGAGATGCAACAATATCTTAAACCCCAAGGAATAAAAAAAATACCTCTATGACTATAACTACCAGAAACTTTAGCCCTGAGCAGTACCTATTATTGCTCTGAATTCTTAGAGGTTACTCTTGTAACCTTTACAGTTACAAAATTATGTGTTCCCTGTACTTAGCAGAAACAGTACAGGTTTTATTATTGTGTAATCCCAGTAATCTATGACTCGAAATGAAAACACGTTAAGACTGTTCCTCATACACTGCTCATAGTTGCTCACATGCTGTACTGTTTCTTACTTCCATGCCTTTGATGGTGCTATTCCATTTCCATCTCTTTTTCCTTTGGCCAATTTCAACTCAGCCCATTAAAGTTCAGGTCACACATTAACGATTCCAGGAAACCTACTCTACCCACTCCTCCTGCAGGGGGGTGTATTCATCTTTGGATCCCAAACACCCAAACCAGTGCCTCACATGTAAAAGATGATCAGTAAATGTTGAAAGAATGGATGAAATGACCGCAAGGTTCCCTCTCCAGATCATTCTCTAAGAAAGTTTACAAAAAGATGGCATCCATCATACAAAGAATATTAGATTGGCATATAGTGTTCAGCCACCATAATCACCTTTCACAGTGATACTTGTCCCATTTAAAGGCTATCTCTTTACCACTCCACCCACAATTAAAGCAAAACAAAGTAAGACATTTAGACATCAGTGTTATTTCCTCACCCAGGCTATGGAACTGAGTGGAAGGGGCTTCCCCAATTCTGGCTCTGTTGCAGAGTGACAAGACCTGAGCCAAGTCCTGTCCTACACCTGCATTACTTCCATTACACCTATGT